GCATAGCTCGAGGTCTTTCCTTAAAGGAGAAAGACGAGTCTTCAAAGATGGCCGACCTCGAGGGTGCCATTTCTGCTCGGGATCTGAGGATCGCCGACCTCGATGAGGAACGTGCTCAACTGATGAGGGAGCGCGAGCAGATGAGAAACGATCTTCGTAATGCTCAGGATGAGGCCGGTACTGCGAAGGACGAGGCTGAGCACCTCAAGCTCGAGCTCAAGCGCACTCAAAAAGAACTGGATGCAAAGCTGGCCGATGCTCGAGATGATGCGGTCGAGGACTTTAAGAAGTCTGACGCCTTCAACGAGTTGAAGGGCGAGTATGCTATGGGCTCATACTTTCATGCATTAAAGGAAGCTCGAGCTTTTATTCGCCTGAGGCCAGATGCTCGCCCTGAGGATCTGAAGTCGATTCCCGAGGTGGCTGATGACCTTCAGCTTTCTGAGTCTGAAGAAAATGCTGGGGATGAAGACGTCGATATTGAGGGTGACGATGTCCAGGAAGGCCAAGGCAGTCAGAACACCGATGTCTAAATTTGATTAGTCCCCGAGTATTTATTTTGATTTGTAATTTTTGATGTAAAATGCCCGATCTTAATGGAAATAGTTTTTTCCTTTTTACCGAGCTCATTTTGTGTTATCGACGCATTTTTATTTCATCAACATATGCCGACGACTTTTGTCAATTAATTATCCCGACGACTTAGAAGAATTAATTATCTCGATGACTAAGAAGATTAATTATCTCGACGATTAAGAAGAAATAATCCGATTTTAAGCAAGTCATAATGCCGAGGACAGTTATGAATGTAGGATATAGTTTAACACTTGACGGTAAAAAATATCCCGACGTCTAAGATAAATTAATTATCTCGACGACTATGACGATAAATTATCTCATCGATTGAGAAGAATTAATTCGATTTTAAGCATGTCATAAGGCCGAGGACAATGATGAATGCAGGATATAGTTGAACACCTTGACGGTAAAATTATCCCGACGTCAGTATTGAATCCAATCCTATGAATACCTCGAGGACTAATCGCGAGGGGTGGTAACCTCGAGGTATACGAAGAATTGTGCCCGACCTCTGTACAGAAGTATATCCCGAGCGTTCACTTTGGAACCTCAGACAAAAATTCAAGGATAGATGGTCGGGGATGTATGTCCTCGGGATGTTTACTTGTGCTGCAAGATTTTGATGTGCTAATTATGGGCTCCAAGGTTTTGGTGCTTTCCGGGGCAAGGCTTAGGTGCTTGCTCGGGGCAAGGCTTAGGTGCTTGCTCCAGTACTTCTTCCAAGAGATCAAGGTGTTCAGTTGTATGCCCCGAGGTTTCTGGGTCGAGTCTCCTATGGCTTGGCAGTCTAATTTCCACCGGGACCATTGCTTCAATGCCATAGGCTAACATAAAAGGGGTTTCTCCTGTGGATGTCCTATGAGTTGTTCTATACGTCCATAGTATAGAAGGCAGCTCGTCGGACCAAGAACCCCTAGCATTACCAATTCTTGTTCGAAGGTCTTGTAATATGATTCGATTTGTCACCTCGGCCAGACCATTGTTCTGAGGATGCGAAACTGAAGTCAGATGGTGATCAATCCCAAGGTTTGAGCAAAAGTCCCTAAACTGTTGATTGTCAAATTGCCTGCCATTGTCGGTGATGAGGACCTTTGGTATCCCAAACCTGCAAATGATAGACCTCCAAGTGAAAGCTCTTAGCTTGGGCTCCGATATCGTTGCGAGAGGTTTGGCCTCTGCCCATTTAGTGAAATACTCTACTGCTACAGCAACAAACTTTAATTGACCTCTTGCCACGGGAAAGGGCCCGAGGATGTCAACTCCCCATTGTTCAAACGAGGCCGAACAGTTAATGTTGGTGAGGTCTTCGGCCGGTGAATAGATAACATTACCAAACCTCTAGCACGTATCACATCTCTTAACATATTCTGGGGCGTCTTTCTTCATAGTTAGCCAATAGTACCCATATTGTATGAGTTTAAAGGCCAGGGCCCTGGCTCCTTGATGATTCCCACACACACCTTCATGAACTTCAGCAAGGGCCTGGGATGATTCTGATGGTCTAAGGCACCTTAGGTATGGAAGAGTAATACTTCTGCGAAAGAGGACATCGCTGATCATGCAGTACCTAGGAGCTCGAGCTCGGATGCTTCTAGTCAACCTGGCATCGCTTGGTAGATTTCCACTTGTGATGAATTCTATGATTGGGTCCATCCAAGACGGTTCGTTGTCAATGTCCATGACGTCGGGAATTTGATTGATGCTGGATTATGTGATGACTTTGATGTGAACTGTTCTGTCCAGACTGTCAACCCCCATGAACACAAGCCTGGATAATGCGTCGGCTTTTCGTTGTCCTTTCGAGCAATTTTTGCAATTTCACAACTCTTGAATTTTCGTTGAAGATCTTGAACCTTCATGCAATACAAACTCATTTTCTCGTCTTTCCTTTCAAATGATCCTTCAATCTGTCCGACCACCAGTTGTGAATCGTTGAATACCTTCACGAACTCGAGCTCAAGGCTAAAGGCTAGCTCCAGAGCAATAATGACAGCCTCATACTCGGCCTCGTTATTGGTTGCTTCAAACTCGAACCTAAGTGCGCATTGAATCTTCGTATGTTTGTCAGGGCTGATGATGATGACCCCTGTACCCGAGCCCGAGGAGTTTGATGCTCCATCTACAAAAATTTTCCAAGTGTCCAAATTAGTGCCCATGCTCGAGCCGTCATCTGGCCCCCGAGGCCTAGGGGTTAGTTCTGCAATGAAGTCGGCTAGTGGTTGGGCTTTAATAGATGGGCGTGGTTTGAATTCGATGTCAAATTCTCCAAGCTCGATTGCCCATTTCATCAGTCTTCCTGAGAAGTCCGATTTCTGAAGTATATGCCTAAGTGGTTGATTAGTGAGCACCACAATAGGGTGAGACTGAAAATAATGTTGGAGTTTTCGTGCTACTATCACCAAAGCAAGGGCAAGTTGTTCCGCCAAAGTATACCTTGTTTCCGCATCTAATAGGACCTTGCTTACATAGTAGATAGGTTGTTGGACTCTGTTAACCTCTTTCACCAAGACCCCGCTGATCGCGTTTTGAGATACGGTCAAGTACAAAAATAAGGTGTCACTAGGCTCAGGCCTAGTGAGAATAGGAAGAGATGCCAATGTTTGCTTGAGCTCCTGAAAAGCTTTCTCACAGTCTTCACTCTAATCAAAGCCTTGGTTTCCTCTGAGGACTTTGAAGAAGGGATAGCACCTGTCTGATGCTTGGGACATGAACCTGTTCAAGGCTGCTATCTTAACAGTCAACCTCTGTACCTCTTTCTTGTTCCTTGGTGATTCCATAGATGCCAAGGCTTGTATTTTGTCAGGGTTAGCCTCTATCCCCCGGTGAGTGATCATAAAGCCCAAGAACTTGCCCGAGGCTACGCCAAATGCACATTTTGCTGGGTTCAACTTCATTTTGTACTTTCGCAAAGTGTCAAAAACCTCTTCAAGATCTGAAATATGTTGGTCCACCCATTTGCTCTTGACCACCATGTCATCAACGTACGCCTCCACATTCCTTCCTATCAAGTTAGCAAAGACTTTGTTGATGAGCCTTTGGTATGTTGCCCCTGCATTCTTTAAACCGAAAGGCATGACCTTATAACAGTATATGGTGAAATCGGCCATGAATGACGTCTTTTCTTGATCTTCCTCGACCATGAGGATTTGATGATAACCAAAAAATGCATCTAAGAAGCTGTATAGCTTATGTCCAGATGTGCTATCCACCAAGTTGTCAATCCGCGGTAGGGGATAACTATCTTTTGGACATGCTTTGTTAAGATCTGCGAAGTTAATAAAGACCCTCCACTTACCATTGGCCTTCTTCACTAAAACAACATTGGCAAGCCAATCGGGATATTGGACCTCCCGAATGAATTGAGCACTGACGAGTTTGTTAATTTCTTCATGAATGACCTCCCGACGTTCTAGGGCAAACTGTCTTTACTTCTGCTTTACTGGTCTGGCCCCTGGGCTAATGTTAAGCCTGTGGACTGCAATTTTGGAGTCTATCCCTGGCATATCCTCAACCTTCCAAGCAAAAACGTCAATGTTGCGAGATAAGCAACCAATAAGTTCTGTCTTTAGGGTGACGTCAAGATCCCGACCAATCGTCACCTTCTTATCATGCTCGAGCTCAATTTCCATCAATTCTTCGATAGGAGCAAGTCTGACTTGTTGCCTGGTCTCGGGCTCTATCCTCGAGATTTGCATGACGTCGTTATTTATTTCCCGAACACTGGCAACATAGCATTGTCTGACAGCTGCTTGGTCTCCACGCACGACCCCAACGCCATTACTTGTTGGAAACTTCATGGCTAGGTGGAAGGTAGACACAATGGCTTTGATCTTGTTCAGGAGTGGTCTTCCCAGGATAGTGTTATAGGCCATTGAGACACGTACCACTTGAAAAGATGTCATCTCTGTAACCTGTTTCTGGCCAGAACCCAAAGTTAGAGGAAGCTCGACGACACCTTCTGGAGTGATGACTCCTCCCCCAAACCCCTGGAGAGGAGATTTAACCGCTTTAAGCTACTGAGATGAGATTCCCATTTTGGCAAAAGCCTCTTGTGAAAGTATATTGGTCGCACCCTCGTTGTCAACCAAGATTCTCTTTACTTCAAAATTGGCCACAATCGTTGAGATGACCAAGGTATCATCATGTGGAAGTGATACACCTTCCAAGTCCCTGGTTCCAAAAGTAATATCCTCCAACTTTCCATGAGGCATCCCAGAGGCCAAGGTATATTGTCGGGTATATTGTTTTCTTCCACTATTCGAGTCTCCTCCCGAGGCAAACCCCCAATGATGATATTGATGGTTCCAGCAGTGGGTTGACCATCCCTTTTTGCTTCAGGGGCTCTTTCCCTACCACGATCATTCCTCGGGCATTTGTCATTACTGACGTAGGAACTCAGGAGTCCTCTTTTAATAAGGGCTTCAATCTCCCGTTGCAGGGGCCTTACAGTTCTCCGTGGTATGCCCATGATCCCGATGGAACTCACAGTACGTGTTCATGTCCCTGGATTCGGGTGGTGACCTCATTCTAGCAGGCCATTTGAGTTCCTTCATATCCTTGATCTCCATCAATATATTTATTTTTGACGTATTTAAACGCGTGAATGACGTCGGGGGAACCTCCTGTCTCTGTTTTCTCCGAGGTGGTTCTTGACGGGGGTTCGGGTCGTGCTGTCGTTCATGTTCGACCCTATCATGGGATGGTCCAACCTTTCTCAGGTTCAATGTTTCCTCCATATTTATGTACTTCTCGGCTCGGGTAAGAAGCTCGGTCACTGTCTTTGACGGAGTTTTGGATAATGACATCTTGAAAGCCTCACACTTTATAGCATATGTGAGGGCAGAAACTGCTACAGTTATATGTAGGTCGGGAATCTGAAGTCTTTCCTTGTTGAACCTGGTCATGAAGTCACGTAGGGTCTCATTTTGCCCTTGTCTAAGTTGCATGAGGGAAGCCGCTGTCTTCTTGATGCGTTTATTGCTTGCGAAGAAAGCAGAGAACTTGCCCGCCAAATTTGAGAATGAGGCTATGGAGTTGGCCTCTAAGGTCGAGAACCAATCCCTAGCAGCATTTGTCAAAATTTGCGGGAAGGCCTTGCACATCACCTGATCCGATGCGACCTATAGATTCATGACGTCCGTGTATACTTTAAGATGATTGATTGGATCGGTGGTCCCGTCATACTCTTTGATCCTAGGATACTTAAATCTTTTTGGCAAGGGGAATGTCAATATCTCGAGAGTGAAAGGAGTGTTGGGACTGAATCTTGTTGACCCTTTGTTGGCCTGAAGTAGGCCCGCCGTAATTCCTTCTTGAATAATCCTAGCGAGTTCTTCGGACTCCATGGTCACTAATCTCGAGGCCGAGGTCATACGTGGTATGCCTGAGGCCCCTGCTCCGCCATTGTCAGGGACATGTCGCTGAGCTCGAGCTCAAGCATCAGCCATAAAACCCCCCTGGGGTGCCGGTGTGGATGACGGATGCGAATTCCTTTGACTTAGCAGCTGAGTCAGTGTGGCGACCTGTTGTCTGAGCTCTTCAAAGGCTCCGGTATTGACGACTGTCGGCTGGGGCTCTGGCACTTTTGATGATTCCCTTAAGGAACAGGGATATCCTCAGGAGGAGGTTGATTTGGAGCGGATGAGCTTGCTGGTGGAAGACCTGAACGTGTGTTTACCCTGGCTTTTGGTAGCGCTTCCCACAGACGGCGTCAATGATGCTACCAAAAATCGTACCTGTTGATTTTCTGAGCTTGACGACTGATAATGAGTACGAACAAGATCTTCCGGTACCTGAAACAAAGGCGTCGAGGTGTGTCCTCGTCGCCTCTCTGATGCTTAAGTCAGAGAGAGAATTTGTGCGTAAGGCTATGAACTGAAAATTATGTAAAACGTACCTGAATAATGATCAAGGGCTTTGTATTTATAGAGGTAGGTGGTGTGTTCATACTAGGATTCCGTAGTGCACTTGTAATAGGACAACTTGATTTTGCAATCTTATACCAATGAGTCCTACGCGAGATAGGAGTTTGAATTGTGGTATAACTGGGATACCAATTATTTAATAGAGTTCTTCTGGGCGTAGGAGACATAAGTTGAGGAGTTTAAGTCAGAATAAATTTCTTAGTAGATAAGGCGTTGACGCGGGGGACATGTCGAGGACGTAATCCCGAGGACACGTCGAATGACGTTCCACAAACTCTTGGGTCAAGAGCTCGGGCATGTGAAAGACATCCCGAGCACATATATCCCGAGCATACTGATACACAAATCGACGAAATAGAGTCCTCGGGTTTGTATACGTCGGAAACAGTATTTGGTAACATCAATCTATATTACCAAAAAGGGGGAAAAAATCCTAAAAACTACAAAATATTTTTGAATAGCTTACCTACCTTGAGAGATTCTCTTGAAGCAATAATACATAGATCTAGTCGTCATTAAAGCCACAAAGGATTATCTAAATTTATTCATTTCTGTCGATAAGCCCCAATCACATACTAGGAATTCTTTTTTAAGTTCTTCTTTAGGTTAATTAATCTAATCTAATATATTAGCCTCAGTTTACGATGGAATCTTTTCCAATTATAATAAAACTAGGACTGGAATAATTTATTTATTTATTTATTTTTTAAAATTCAAATTATTAAGTGAGGTAGAACCTTCCAAATTGTTAAGAGCCAAAAGCCACCAACTCACCCTTCAAAAAATTAACAATTATCTTTTTCTCGAAGGTGCTCTGCATTTTTTCTCAAGCAGCGGAACCGTCGGTGTTGTGTTTCATGTGCCAGATCAGTTCTACTGCCAGCAAATTCATTGACGTCATGGCTTGCCTAATCACACTATTATATAATGTTTTTATATTACAATAAATATATAAATAAATATTACTACTTACCACCAGCTGGCAGTGGCTGCTATGTCTGAACATTGACAATTTACACACTTTAGAGCACTTAAAAATTATAATTATCTCACCACAGTCGGCCACCCAAATATATGGTACAAATATTAATTTGGGTCTCAAATAAAAATTAATTAAGACAAATGGTAAAACCAATAATCGATTTTGAAGATAAAATTTCTGAGTTCAATTTTTCAGATACAAGATGTTAAACACCTTTTGCAGTTTATACCATTTGGTTAGAAAGAATATGTAATGGAAATAACGAGATACACATTGTACATAAGAACTTTTCCAATTCTTGTTTCCTTTAAAATTGTACGATATTGCCCCCGTCGTTCGATTTCATGATGTCATTGAAGTACATACCAATACTAAATGAATCGACTTAATCTATGAAAAGAACTTTAGACTTGATACATGAGGCAAAGATTATATAAAAAAATAAATTAGTAAAAGAATAAGATTCAATCTATTTATGGAATAAAGCCAAAGAGTCATATACAAATAATCTTAAAAACAAATGATCCTCTAAAATCCAATGTAGTACAATGAAATGAACAATCACGACAAATATACCATAGAGAAAAGAAGGGGTGGAGAGAATAAAGACAAGGGGAAAAGGAAAATTACTATTAAACCCAACAAATGGATAAAATGAATCACATCCGTCCAAAGAAGTACAGATCTATGTCCCGACAAACCTCCACGTGTCGAAAACTACATCAACGCCACAGCAAGAAGTGTTGTAGCAAGAACGGTGCCACCGATGGCGGCTCTCTGGACGAAACCGGCGTTAGTACCATCAGATGGAGGCTGATCAGCGGAGGGTCCGGAAGATGGAGGCTGATCAGCGGAGGGTCCGGCTGGGGTAGGTGCAGTTGGTGAAGCAGCGCCTGGTGCGGTTGATGGGGATGGAGTTTCACCGCTGGGTGATGGGGTAGGGCTGGTCCCTGGGGCTGGAGATGGAGCGGACGGAGCTGGAGATGGAGATGGAGATGGTGTAGCAGTGGGTGGCGCCACCGAGGGAGCTGGTGTGGGTGTGGCGGTGGGTGAAACCTTGGGTGCACCAGCTGGTGCTTGTGCCATACATGCGGTGGCGAAGAGTGCTAAAAGTATGGTTACCTTAAACCCTAACGATGAAGCCATTGTGCCGGAGAAAGCTTTTTTCTTGCGTAATGAATTGGAAAGGTGGTGGTGAGTGCTCGAGATTTTTTAACTTTGAAGGTGGACAAAAGTAAGTGTAAAGTGAAGAATATATAAAAAACAGGAGAGAGAAAGAGATGCGATGTCAATAAATGAGAAGATTCCTTGTGAGGGTTATGTATATAATCAGCTTGTACAGACATGCATGTGTTTTCGTGCTTCCATTTCTAATTCAATTAATGAAATATTTGTACCGCTAAATAAATTTAAATCAATAATAATAAATTAGTAGCTAGTTTACGCGTTTAATTTTAGAGCAACTCTATACATTTATACTCTGGTGATGTTTTTCATATTTTCTCGAGATTATGGCTCGTATCCATACATTTAATTAGCTTTATCAATTCACCCTATATCACCTATCACATTATATGACGATCATTCACACTTTGTACATATGTATAACGTTATTCATATTTTAGGAGAGCGTAAACGAAATTACTCGATTACACTAAATTGTACTTTAATAGCAAACAATCCAAATCGACGAGTGTTTTATCCAATCAAAATGAAGAATTTTTAAAGAATAACATTGTTTATCATCAGCAATTTGGGTGACAATGAGCTACTAATTATTGTTAGGTAAAACTATAAAGCATTTTATTTCATTGAATAATGAATGAGGAATCCCTAATGATAGATAGTTTTACTGATCTTTAATCTAATATTGTTACAAAATATGATTACTGGTATACCAAATATCATAAATTATTGGATTTCACGTTAAGAGAAAGCGATTTTTAATATTTTAGATTTATCACATTCTTTTTTGATAACTCTTCTTCAACAAGAAGAAAGAGAAAACAAAAAACAAAGGTTGGAATGATTCAAGTACAAATGAGCTGTATTTGTTAGGAGCTTCATCACATGGACGGAGGAAAAAGGAAGGAAAAGAGGAAACCTTTATGGTGGAATTTCTTTAGTTTGTTAAACAACTTTGAATACGTGTAACCGCGTAGACAAATTCAGCATGTAGTCATTTTCGTATGGTTTGGTAAGATGTCACCATCCTTTTTACCAGAATGTGTATATGCTTGGTCGGTCACGATCTTTTGATTAACCAATAAGAAAACAAAGAAATGAAAACAAAACAAATTTGACATGAATGATAACTTTTCATACTTCGGGCAACCTAGGAATTCCATTTTGACGACTGGGCACTTGGTGCATTATGGTAGAGGTGTTAGATTGAAGAAGAGTTAAAGATGTAAGCCTTATTATGGACCTATCGATCGATTTATCTAAATTCAATGTCACAAGTTTAATAGTATGAGCATACTCAATATGGGATTATCTACTTCGGTAACATAGTTCTGAATATTTAGAAATGAGACGTGCCACAATAATAAACAATGATCTTGATTATGATTAGAATGATATGGCTCTTACAAATATTATAATAAAGATGCTTTCACTCAACTACTACCATTCTCATATCATCTACAAAACCAAATACAAAGTAATAAGATTAAATAAATAAATTATAGACGGTTACGTAACGGGAACATACCACGTAAGCATTTTAGGGTGCCTTCAATTGCCACATTATCTCCTTTCTGGCAGTCGAGGAGTAGGACATGCACTATTGTCCAAAATATACGTTATTTTCCGTTTGAATTATTGACAAAGAGTACCAGATGATTTATTACGACAACAATAAGATTATGCATTGTGTATCAAGTATATGACAAGAAAAGTCTCCATCGAAAAAACTTTCTTTACATCATTAACCAGATTGTCATCTGTTATCTACTCTCCAGCAAATTCTAGGCCGCAATCGAACCATAATCCCCAATTCTTCTTCAAAACACTTGTTAGGTGCCCATTTGATATTTTATTAAACAATGATTATCAATTAATGACTTATTCATAGTGCACAAATAATTCAAGCGATGATGGAGACAGAGTGTTTTGACAGAGAGAGGGGGAAAAATCGTTTTTTGGGGTTTTATTAATTAGCTGTATTATAGCCGTTAGTTGATAGATAATTGGGGAGAGAGAAAATAAATTAAACTAATCCATCTCTATTGAAAGGGGACAAAAAACATCGTCGTTTTTCTTAGTTGACCTAGACTTTTTGGCATTTTTGCTTAAATTATTTGACAAAATTAAGAATGAAATAAATATACAAATAAATAAAGTTAACGAATCTTTAGGTTGGCACATAAAATATTAGCCCCGTTTGGTAGCAATTTTTCATTCAAAAAAATTATTTTTTTAACTGTTATTTCATTATTTCAACAATTATTTTTGACTTCTTCACTCACAATTGGAATTCATTTTTCTTTCTAACGGTCAAAAAATCATCACTACTGAACATGCCCTTAACGATACATTAAGTCTACATAACTAAATAGTAAAATAACATTTCAGATGGTACCCAAAACATTGAACCATATATGTAGGTCGAAATTTACAAGAAGAAATTTCACTACCATAAAGCTATTTTAGTTACAATCCTCGTTTATTGGGTTTTGGCCACCTACTCTCTTGCTTTCAATTTCTACCACTGAACAAGCGAAAGTATTCAAACATGGTATAACGTTTTCTGCAAAAGCTTGCAAAAAATAAAAATTTTGATGATTTTATTTAGTGGTGGATATTTTAACTGAACTGAACCTCTGATTTTGATCTAGTTCATGTTTCTTGGTTCTTGAAACGAAACTGTAGATGCTCGACTTTTGAATCAAAATTGTCTTTTTTATGAGTGTTTTATTTTTTATAATTTATTCAGTCTAATTCAACGATCCAACCAACAAGTAGCAAATTTACAAGACCCAGCAAGTAGTACACTTTTAATGCGCAAGTAGTAAATATCCTAATAAATCAGATTCGTTTGTTTGGGTAACTGAATCATATCACTCTTGTACGTAGACACTCTCGACCTCACTTTACATGTTGCCGGCTCCTACTAACCTTTCTTGAGGTGCTGCAAGCTAAGTAACTAGCAGAATTTGATGCTATTATGCAAGATATTTGGTTTTATTTGTTGGAATATTTATAGTGGATTAAAAAAGTGTTGAAATATGTATTTTATTTCCCTATTTCTACTAAATAATGGAAAGATCATGTTGACCTCAAAAAGTGTTGCCAACAGATGTCAGTCCCACCCGCGCACACGTGGACGAATGTCCAACACACTAAGACACGTGGACGGTCTAAAATGAGCGGTTCAAAGGGCGTGGGAGTAACCCAACGACGCGGGACGGTGACGTTCGGAATCCGGCAGGTTGTTCGTGATCCAATAGTACAATAATTACCAACCGGTGTTCGTAAATGTATATGTAAATGTGTATAAACTCGATTTGTGTATTGCAAGTAAATGAGAGAGAGTTGAGTAAAGTGTAGTTCTTTGTATTGATTCTTGCATTAGCCTTTTGCTGTTATACAAGGGAAATATTTATAGTGGTACATGTGAAATGGGAGCTCTTAGATGAGGTGGCACGTGGTATCATCTCTTTGATTTAAACATCTTATCAGGCATGAGGTTTGACTTGCTAGCTTGCAGCACATTTATTGCTTGTGCAGAGCCCCCATACTAGTGACAAAATTTGACATTTATGCTTATGACAAACGTTCTATCAATCATTCGAATAAGATCTTTATGCAGATGATCTCTTGGGAGAAGTGAACATGGAGGACACTCCCTTGTGGTTTGGAGGCTCCTGCATCAGCTTCGGGGCTTCGGCCATTTCACACAATACTTCCGCTTGAGGGCCTCAGCTATTTTCAACTAGCTTCAGAATCATGGCTTCGGTTCATGGGCCTCGGCATGTAGACCTCGGGTACGTTCACAGGCCTCGGTAAACAGGCACCTCGGCTAGTGGACTTCGGCTTGAAGGGCTTCAGCCATTGCCCACCTCAGCAATATATGCCACCTCGACTGAAGTGCCATGTGGTTCGGCCTAAGTGGGTCATTGGCCCAGGTGGATTGGCCAAGTATGACAACACGCAACAATAGTCCCCCAAATCCAAGTATGGTCATTCATATAATGCGTAGACTTTAATGACGTAAAAATTGAAAGAATTTTTGAACCCCAAATAATAGTCTCCAAAGTCCAAGTGTAGATATTTATATCAGAGTTGGAATTAGAAATGTGTTGTCGTGGGTGAACTATGAAGAGACCGAGGCTGTGTTGATGTTGAAGACAAAACTGAGGTGGTTGTAAAATCGAACCAGACTTGTTGGCTGAATGTTGAAGTTGAAGCCGAGGTGGTTGGAAAACCGAACCTGCGAGACTTGATGGCTGAATGTTGAAGTTGAAGCCGAGGTGGTTGGGAAACCGAACCTGCGAGGCTTGTTGGCTGAATGTTGAAGAAGAAGCTGAGGTGATTGGGAAATCGAACCTGCGAAGTTTGATGGCTGAATGTTGAAGAAAAAGCCGAGGTGGTTAGGAAACCGAACCTGCGAGACTTGTTGGCTAAATGTTGAAGAAGAAGTCGAGGTTCAATGGTAATGATTGTGCCTCGAGAGCTGTGCCAATGATTTGATGTTTTGTACTTATTTTTGAGAAAAAGTGGCTGAACCGTTATGACTTCCAAGATGCCTGCTACCGTCGAATTAAAAACACAATTATGGTGGCAGTTGGAGCTTCTAGAAGCAGACGCGTTGGATGGGGCGTGTGGGAGGCACGCTTGAATCTAATGCGTAGGTTTGAAAAATCGTTTGAATTCAACGCCTCGGATTTGATCTACAATGAAGGGCTCAGATTGACGGCTAGGGTTCGTCCTGGACCTCAATAAAAGGTGAGAAAATTCTATTTTTCAGGATTTTTGAACACTTGCAATCTGATTCTCTCTCAAAATCCTGAACTTTTCGGCGTCAAAGCTGCCTGATCTTTAATTTTCCAGCCTATCTCCGTTCGCTTAGTTCTTCCCTTAGTTATTATTCGTAGAAAAGCCCTTTTGTTGTGTTAATATTGTGAAATGGAGTCCACATCGGGTAGGGAGCTGGTGACTGTAGCGTCGTTTGATTATGGGGTCAGTCAGAGGGGGGATGCCGAAGCTGATAGGTACGCCATGACTGAGGAGCCAGTAGATTATACCGAAGAGTGGCGGCGTCTAGGGTGCC